AGGGAGGTGAAGGGGGAAGGAGTGGGAAGGCAGGAAGGGAAGGGGGTGTGTGGACGGGAGGAGTGGACGGCATGGAGAGGTGCATGGCGCTCATGTGTCAAGTGGAAAGGCAGCAGATGATGTATGCTCGAGGTGATGTATATACATGCATTTATTGATGATGTATATGCATGCATTTACTAATGATGTATATACATGCATTTATTGATGATGTATATACATGCATTCATTGATGATGCATGCGTGCACACAGTGAGTGATTACCCGCCATATGCCTCCTCCTCTCTTCCTTGTCTCACCACCACCACCTGCCACATACTGCTCATCTCCCCTCCCCTCCCACCCTCTATTATCTGTCTATTTTGCGGCCACTGTTCTCTGAAACTCCCGATGTGCACCACATCCTTACCACCACCACCTGCCATGTGCTGCTCATCTCCCCTCCCCTCCCACCCTCTACTATCTCTATCGTTTGCTGCCTCTGCACCGTGAAGCTTGACTCCACTGTGAATCACGACAGGCCCACTGTGCTCACCTCTCGTGATTCCTTCATCTAAAAGCCAATTCTACAAGCTGTCAGCTGTTACCCTTGACTGAGTCTCAAAGGGCATCTCTCGCCTCTGTGTACTCGCCCAGTAGACCACCCGACTCACGCATCATCTGCTCTGCTCCCTCTGTGCACACGGCAGCAAGGGAGGAGTATGACGAGTTGGTGCGCGAGAGAAGGGCGTGGGAGGTGGTGGGGTTGCATTGGGAGTGGGTGGAGGCGCGGAGAGAGTGGATGGGGCCTGCTCGCAGCACCATGGAGGCACTTCAGCGCCTCATGAGCATGCCGCCCGGTTCAGGTGGGTTTGAGATGTCTCAACACACATGCGCGCAACACCATGGAAGCACTTCAGCGCCTCATGAGCATGCCACCCGGTTCAGGTGGGTTTGAGATGTCTCAACACACATGCGCGCAACACCATGGAAGCACTTCAGCGCCTCATGAGCATGCCACCCGGTTCAGGTGGGTTTGAGATGTCTCAACACACATGCGCGCAACACCATGGAAGCACTTCAGCGCCTCATGAGCATGCCACCCGGTTCAGGTGGGTTTGAGATGTCTCAACACACATGCGCGCAACACCATGGAAGCACTTCAGCGCCTCATGAGCATGCCACCCGGTTCAGGTGGGTTTGAGATGTCTCAACACACATGCGCGCAACACCATGGAAGCACTTCAGCGCCTCATGAGCATGCCACCCGGTTCAGGTGGGTTTGACATGTCTCAACACACATGCGCGCAACACCATGGAAGCACTTCAGCGCCTCATGAGCATGCCACCCGGTTCAGGTGGGTTTGAGATGTCTCAACACACATGCGCGCAACACCATGGAAGCACTTCAGCGCCTCATGAGCATGGTTCAGCACCATGGGTTGCAGTATAGTGAGTGTGGTGGCTCAGGCACAAGCTGCCCTGCTTAGGTGGGTGAGGACTTATGAGCCACCGCACTTACTACAGTGGGTGAGCATCGCATGCACATGCCACCTGCTTGCTTTGGGGTTTTTTTGAGACGTCTCGAAAAATTACCTATCTACACGTATGCACATGCCACCTGCTTGCTTTGGGGTTTTTTTGAGACGTCTCGAAAAATTACCTATCTACACGTATGCACATGCCACCTGCTTGCGTTGCGTTGGGTGCATTGGGGCAGCCCTGGCCTGGGGAAAGCCTTTGAGTGGGCGGGCCTTTGTATGAGTCGCCTAAAGAATGGACAGCCATTCTTCCCCTGCCCACTTTCCTCCTCCCCGCTGCATCGTTCCCCTGCATGCATACTCCGCACGCTCTTTGTGTGCGTCCGCTGCGACCCTGTATCGCTCTCTTCCTGAGACTCATCAGGAATGTAAAACCCCACTCACCCCATTTCCCTCCATTTATCACCCCCCGTGCATGCAGGCATATTCCGCAAGCTCTTTGAGTGCATCGTCTGACTTGCGCCCCTACGTCGCTCTCTTCGTGAGGCACCTCAGGAATAGGCAACCCCACTTCCCCCATGTCCCTCCCTTCTCCCTTCCCTTGTTCATCCCCTGCAGGCATATTCCGCAAGCTCTTTGAGTACATATTCTGGCTGCGCCCCTACGTTGCTCTCTTCCGCTCCATACCCACCCCCGCACTCTCCTCCCTCTCATCCCTCCGCCTCTCCTCCATCCGCTTCTTCCTCTCTCTCGACGGGCGGCAAGCAGCGTCCACTCTCAATGCCGCCCGCTCCTCCCTCCTCTCCTCCCTCCGGACTCTCTCCTCCCGCTGCGGTGTCGACGCGGGCGGGGAGTTTTGGACTGACATGCATGATGCCGCCCTGCAGCGGTACCGGTGGGTGGCGGAAGCGGCGTTTGACAAGTGGTGCGTGGATTGGGCGGCGGTGGGCGGTGGGTATCGGCAGCGTGCGGGGATGGTGGTTCCTGGGGAGGTGTGGAGGAGGGAGGGATTGCATGGTGGGGGGATGGAGAAGGATATAGAGAAGGGGTTGAGAGGGACGGGGGGGAGTGAGAGTGAACGAGACCTGGAGAGACAAGGGAAGGGAGGAGATAAGGGGGCGGTGAGGGCAGACGAGGGCGGAGGGGGAACGGAGGGGCAAGAAACACCAGAGGCGAACGCGAGGAGGAGGGAAGGGGAGAGAGCAAGTGTGGGGCGGATGGGGCCACAGCCGGAGTTCTCCTTCCTGCTCCTACCTGACCCACTCTCCCCGCCACCGGCGGTGGGGAAGGGAGGGGGGTTGGATGCGCGGGCAGTGGTGGAGGTGGTGGTGGGGTGCATGCGGCATGTGGGGTTCAATGCCTCGGGCAGTGGGCTGGGCGTGCCTGCAGAGCTGCTCGTGCTGCTGGGCGTGGGGCGAGAGGGACAGCGTGGGCAGGGTAAGGGGCTGGGCGGGGTGATGGGGCAGGGAGGAGTGGAGAATGGGGAGGGTGGGGAGGGTGGGGAGTGGGAGCGGGTGGCGGCATGGAGCCAGGCAGCGTGGGCAGTGGAGGAGCAACGACTCACTGTGTTGCCCGTGGTAGTGCCTTCGTCAGCGTCAGCATCAGCAGCATCAGCAGCATCGACGTCGGCACCATCAGCTTCGGCACCACCAGCATCGGCGTCAGCGTCGGCACAACCAGCATCGGCGTCAGCGTCGGCACAACCAGCATCGGCACAAGCAGCATTAGGGCTCCATGCCTCTTTTTCTGCCGCTCCTTTCGCCTCAGATTCTGTGAGATTCGATTTTCTGGCCCGGGCGGCAAGGGGGAAGGTGCTGGTGCTGCTGACAGGGGCGAACGCAGAGGCGGTGGTGAGGAGGGCGCAGGGGGGCCTGGGGCAGGACGCTGGGAGCTGTGAGTGGCTGCTGGCGCTGCACAGCACGTTTCAGGGGGATGCCAGGCTGGCTGTGGCTGGGTTCGTGGGAGGAGAGGGTGGAGGAGAGGTTGGGAGGGATGGGAAGGGGTTGGAAGGGGGGATGGGAGGGGAGGGAGTGGGAGGAAAGGGTGGTGGTGGTGAGGCTGGGGTGGGTGGTGTGAGAGAGGGAGGAGTGGAACAGCGGATGAGGGAGTGGGGCGACTTGGGCAGGGAGCGGCACAGCGCTGCCAACCTCACAGGCCCCAGCAGCAGTGGTAGCAGCACCCCGCCCCCTCCTCTGACCTACACGGGGTGGGTGCAGGGCACACCTCTAGCCGTCCGCCGCTCTGCCCTCCTCTCCCTGGGCTCGCTTGGACCCCTGCATGGGGGAGGGATGGGGGGAGCAGGCGAGGGGCAGGGGGGTGCGAGCAGCAGCAGCAGCAGGGTTGGAGCGTGGGTGCTGTGTGTGAGGGTGTGGCTTGCAGGGTATCGTGTGGGGCTCGTCCGCTCACCCTCTGCCGAGTTCCTCTTTCCAAAGCATGATGCTTCTGGTGCAGGGTCTAGGGTGGGTGGGGGAAGCAATAATTGGGGGAACGTTGGGGTGGGAAGTGGTTCGGGTGCTGCTGCAGGGTTACACGAGTTTGCTGCACTTGTCGCTCCTTATATGCATGCTGCGAAAGAAAGAATAGCCATCTTGAATTCACACTAATTACAGAAACCAGATTGTACAATTCACCATTACATATGTGATGAACTGTAGAAGTTCCCAGACCTCCTATCCTGTATCCCTTACATGTTCCATATACGTAAATTTATTTCCTCTAATACACCACACCATTCCCCTACTTGGATCCTAGGCTGTCACTAACAAGATGTTTCAGCCCTACCCTATCTCGCCTCAGCATCTAAATCAGCCATGCAGTCAGATAAGGTATACTACTATCTAAAAAAATGCTGTGCATGTCAGATGGTGGGTGATGGGTGGGGATGATGGGTGGTGGTGATGGGTGTAAACTGCTGAAACCCAGATGAATAGGCACCCACTGCTGACCCAAGCATACGGCTAGCGGAAGGTGCAGAGCACAAGGCCGACAAAGAGCCGAGCGTTGGTGCACACGTAGCCGTTGTTGAGAGAGGCCATGCGGCGTGTGTTGTATTGGAACTTGAGGGCTATGATGCGCGCACAGAAGTCCCCCCTCACCACCGTGTACGACGCCTGGCACCGCCCCCTCCTCTGCAACGGCTGCACTTGCTGCTGCTGCAGCAGCTGCTGCTGACCTTCTGGCTGTTGGCGCTGCTGCTGCTGAGGCAAGCTGTGTGCGGAGAGCAGGCCAGCGGCGTGAGAGGAGTAGAGGAGGGAGTGGTGCTGTGTGGTGAGGAGGTCCGTGAATGCTGCGTTGTAAGGCATGGCCGATGTGTCTCGGGGCGCGAGATAGTTGATTGTTGCGTTGAACGCCGCCTTTACACAGATCTGAGGGGCAGGCGGGCAGGAGAGAGGGGTGAAAGGGAGGACAGAGGGGTGGTGGTGGGTGTGAGAGAAGTGGAGGGAGGGGTGGTGGGTGGGTGGGGTGTTGGTGGTGGCTGTTGTACGTGTGGTGGAAACAACCAACTCTCCTCAACAAAAGCATCTACCCTTTGATCATGCGTCACTCACACCAGCCCACCTGTGCACCACACGAGCCCACCTGTGCGCCACTGGGGATGGAGTTCTGTCCATCGACGGTGGCAGCGGGGTAGAGGTTGGCGCAGAAGACACCAGGGTTGAGGGCGAAGAAGGTGGACCAGGAGAGCGAGTACTGCTGCTTGATGCTCCTGCACGTGTCCGGGGGCGCTATCACGTGATACTGCGCACACAGCGGGATGGCCAGGCCGCTTCCCTCCCGCACACAGATCTGCAGGGGAGGAGAGGGAGAAAGGAAGGGGGGAAGGAGTAAGAATACAGGTCAGGTTGCAAGCAGCTGTGTTGTGAGCGATATTGGTGCGACTTTTGAGAATTCTCAAAAACCATCCCGCACAGCCCATGAGCGCAGACAGGGATGGAGGGCCTAGAAAAGCAGACAGGGATGGAGGGCCTACTGCCATCCCGCACAGCCCGCTGGTGGGTGGGAGGGAGGGCAGAGGCTGGCCAGGAGAGAAAGCACTGCTTCCTCATGCTGTGCTCCCACACGTGTTGGGGACTCACATCACATAGTGCTGCGCTGCATGATCACATTGCACCGCACTAGAACGCACTGAACTGCAACGCACCTGCTGGCCCGGGTACGCCCCGGTGGGGCAGGTGAGGCCCGGGTTGAGGTCCTGGAGGCGAGCGATGGAGATGCCAAACAGTGCTGCCACCGGCCCACAGCGATTGCCCTGTTGGAGAAGGAAATGGGGGGAGAGGCAGGGTAGGGGTGGGGAACGGGGAGCGGAGAAGTGGAGAGAGGAGGGAAGAACGGAGAGGGGATGGGGAGGTTCATTGAATGGAAGGAAGGGGAGAAGGGAGGTGGGGTGCAGAGCGGGGCAAGGATGGAATGGCAGGTGCGGGGTCCCAGGCCGAGTGACCCGAGTGCAGCACACACAAGTTGTACCAGGCACACACAAGTTGTACCAGGCACACACAAGTTGCACCAGGCACACACAAGTTGCACCAGGCACACACAAGTTGTACCAGGCACACACAAGTTGTACCAGGCACACACAAGTTGTACCAGGCACACACAAGTTGTACCAGGCACACACAAGTTGCACCAGGCACACACAAGTTGCACCAGGCACACACAAGTTGCACCAGGCACACACAAGTTGCACCAGGCACATACAAGTTGCACCAGGCACACACAAGTTGCACCAGGCACACACAAGTTGTACCAGGCACACACAAGTTGCACCAGGCACACACAAGTTGCACCAGGCACACATTGGGCTTGACACCATGCCGTGAGCAGTAAGCTCAGCCAGGTGCAGGGGTACAAGAGAGCGTTTGAGGTGCACACCACTCTCAAGAGTGCGTGATGGGGACGGGCGTACCCAGTTCCAGGGGTAGATAAAAGAGATCGTACCCAGTTCCAGGGGTAGATAAAAGAGATCGTGCCCAGTTCCAGGGGTAGATAAAAGAGATCGTACCCAGTTCCAGGGGTAGATAAAAGAGATCGTACCCAGTTCCAGGGGTAGATAAAAGAGATCGTACCCAGTTCCAGGGGTAGATAAAAGAGATCGTACCCAGTTCCAGGGGTAGATAAAAGAGATCATGCCCAGTTCCAGGGGTAGATAAAAGAGATCGTACCCAGTTCCAGGGGTAGATGAAAGAGATCGTACCCAGTTCCAGGGGTAGATGAAAGAGATCGTACCCAGTTCCAGGGGTAGATAAAAGAGATCGTACCCAGTTCCAGGGGTAGATAAAAGAGATCGTGCCCAGTTCCAGGGGTAGATAAAAGAGATCGTACCCAGTTCCAGGGGTAGATAAAAGAGATCATGCCCAGTTCCAGGGGTAGATAAAAGAGATCGTACCCAGTTCCAGGGGTAGATGAAAGAGATCGTACCCAGTTCCAGGGGTAGATGAAAGAGATTGTACCCAGTTCCAGGGGTAGATAAAAGAGATCGTACCCAGTTCCAGGGGTAGATAAAAGAGATCGTGCCCAGTTCCAGGGGTAGATAAAAGAGATCGTACCCAGTTCCAGGGGTAGATAAAAGAGATTGTACCCAGTTCCAGGGGTAGATAAAAGAGATCGTACCCAGTTCCAGGGGTAGATAAAAGAGATCGTACCCAGTTCCAGGGGTAGATAAAAGAGATTGTACCCAGTTCCAGGGGTAGATAAAAGAGATTGTACCCAGTTCCAGGGGTAGATAAAAGAGATCATACCCAGTTCCAGGGGTAGGTAAAAGAGATCGTACCCACTTCCAGGGGTAGAAGAGATCGCAGTTGATGGTATCCGAGGTCGCCTTCACGTTCACCTCCTTTGAGGCGACTCAAAGAAAGAATACGTGAGGGGGAAGAAGGGGGGAGGGGGGTCGTACCCAGTTCCAGGGGTAGAAGAGATCGCAGTTGATGGTATCCGAGGTCGCCTTCACGTTCACCTTCTTGCCCTTCTTTATCTTGCTGTCGTCCGAGTCCTGGCGCGGTAGAGATGGGTGCAGATGGTTGGAGATGTGGAGGGGGTTGGGAAGGGATGTGGGAGAGGAGAGGGATTAACCAGAGAGAAGGGGGCGACATGAGAAACTGAGGTGCAGCAGAGGGGCAGGATGCAAGGCAATAGGGTTGGCAGATCAAGAATACAGAGTAACTGAGCCAGGTCAGGACAGACAGGGTAACTAACAAGGGTAACAATATAGGGTAACGTGGCTACCAGGTCGGAAATTCAGCATAACAGGGTTACCACCACAGGGTAAGGGGGTTACCAGGTCGGGGTTCTGGTCGTAGAACTGGTCCTTGGGAATGCCGTAGAGCCCGTACACCACCTTGGCCGGCACCGTCAGCGGCACCTTGATGCTCTTTATGGTCTTGTCCGCTGGAGATTGGGCGAATGGTTGGGAGGGGAAAGAGGCCAAAGGACGCTGAGCAATCAGAGAGCGTTGGGAATGGTGTAGAGTCCGTACACCACCTTGGCTGGCACAGTAAACAAGGGCATCAACCGCACACACACGGGTATCCGAGCCTTGCAGGGCACACACGTGGCTCTATCCGTGAGCGTGAGGGCCTCACAGGGCACGCAACGTAATGTGTGGCTGTATAGCGCGTGTGTCAAGGCCTTACAGGGCACGCAACGTAATGTGTGGCTGTATAGCGCGTGTGTCAAGGCCTTACAGGGCACGCAACGTAATGTGTGGCTGTATAGCGCGTGTGTCAAGGCCTTACAGGGCACGCAACGTAATGTGTGGCTGTATAGCGCGTGTGTCAAGGCCTTACAGGGCACGCAACGTAATGTGTGGCTGTATAGCGCGTGTGTCAAGGCCTTACAGGGCACGCAACGTAATGTGTGGCTGTATAGCGTGTGTGTCAGGCCTTACAGGGCACGCAGGTGTCCGAGCCGACAGCGATGGTGCCGAGCGTGAATCCGCGCGGGCAGAGGCAGGTGTGCGTTCCCTTGCCGTCATTGAGACACGTGCCCACTCCACACGGGTTGATGTCCGCTCGCGTGCACACCACCACTGGAGAAGGGTGAAGAGGGAAGAGGGAGGGAGGAGGTGGGGGGAAGGAACAACAGGGGAAGACAGGGCAGGGTCAGCTTGAGCAGAAAGACAGAGCACCTAACCTGAGGTGGCATGAGGTGGAAGGAAGAAGAGCGGGCAAAGTGGACAAGAGAAGCGGCTGGGAGCGCGAGGAGGGAGGGAGGAACCTACCTGGCGCGCAAGTGGGAAGGGGACCACTTACCTGGCGGGCGGGATTGGATTGGGTGCCATCACAGTTCCTGACTTGCACGTGGGTGGGGGCCACACAGCGTGCAAGGCAAGAAGTGAAAGCGGAATCACGTGGGAGCACGTGGGAGCACGTGGGAGCACCCACCTGGCGTGCAGGACTCGGTGCCGTCGGAGTTCTTGACTTTGACGAATTGAGGCGGGCAGTTGCACTTGTACTTGCCGCTGTCGCGCGGAATGCACTCTCCGCCGCCACAGGGGTTCACCAGCAGGCTGCACGGATCCGAGTCTGGCAGGGGTGGGGGAAGGGAGGATGGGGGGAGAGGGTGGGGCAATAGAGGTGGGAACGGGGATCGGGTGTTGCTGCTGCTGTGCAGAATGCACTTCCTATTGCCACAAGGGTTCACCAGCACTGCACGGATCCGAGTCTGGCAGGGGTGGGGTGGGAAGGAGAGGAGGGAGGGTGAGGGTGGAAGGAGGGGGGAGAAAAAAGGGGTGAGGGAGGGAGGGTAGGGAGGGTAGGGAGGGAAGGGGATGGAGGGCGTGATGCATGTACAAATGCATATGTGCGTGCGTGTGGAGCGTGGTTGCGCACTTACTGCGTGTGACGGGCACGAGTACTGGCACTGAGTGGATGTTGCATGCCTCTTGAGTCGACTCAAAGTCATGCATATGATTGTGATGTGATGTGACGTGCATGCGTGCCTGGGGACAGTGATTGTGCACTTACTGCGGATGACGGGCACGAGTGCAGGCACGGAGTGGATGTTGCATGCCCCCAGCCCGCCCTGCATGGCCAGATGCATGTATCCCTGCACGTGGGGAGCACGGCCGCAAGGGAGTGGGACAAGTGCATTTATTTAATACATGTGCATGTATCCGTGCATGCGGCAGCAGGGGAGTGGGGCATCTGCATTTATTACTTGACACAAAAGATGTAGCCTTGCATGTGCGCGCCAGGGGGGTGGGCATGTGCATGCAGCCACACGCACCAACCCACACATGCCACATGCATGCACACGTCACAAGATGTACCCACATGCCCACATATGCCCACATGCTCACATCACATGCCCACTTTGCCCATGCAAGCAAGCACATTGCCATGCACACAAGCACATGCCCACTTTGCCCATTCAAGCAAGCACATTGGCATGCACACAAGCACATGCACACACGCACACGTTCAACCACTCTCCCCCTTTACCTGCATGCCCCACGTCTTGCCCTCACCTGCATGCCCCACGTCTTGCCCCATGAGTTTTTGAGGATCCAGAGGGGTCCGGGCGACGCGAAGGTATACCCCATCACCACGACAGCGTGGTCCACCTGCCCCTCCGCGCACGACGAATCCGCGTACACGCCCTGGGGGAGGTGCGGGATACGGGGGAGTGGAGTAGGGGGGTTGTGTGAGGGTAAAGAAGGGGGTGTGTTGTGAGTGAGTGAGCTTGACACAGGTGAGCTGGTACACCAGCCAGCCAGGGCAGGGTAGCGGGGAAAGCAGGGAAAGACATGGGCGAAACTCAGTAGCTAGCAGGCAGAAGCGACACTGGTGGTCAGGTTGGTGTTGCTGTTGATTGTCTTTTGAGGGCATCTCGATTCGGCATGGGTAGTAGCAAAGGTGCTGGCGTTGGTGCTGGTGATGGTGATGCTGATGCTGATGGTGATGGCGATGCTGATGCTGATGCTGATGGCGATGCTGATGGCGATGCTGATGGCGATGCTGATGGCGATGCTGATGGCGATGCTAGTGGCAATGGGGCCGGGTGGGAGAGCAGGGAGGGCTCACCGACTGGTAGTTGCGGAAGGAGTCGGGCTTGGAGTTCACCAGCGCGATGGCCGGATGCACCTGGCGGATGGGCGGGGGAGGGGGGAAGGGGGGGTTTGGGCAAGAGGACGGAGGGGAAGCAGAGAGGTTATGCAGGGCAGTAGCAGTGGAGGCAGAGGGGGGAGGGGAAGCAGAGAGGTTATGCAGGGCAGTAGCAGTGGAGGCAGAGGGAGGATGGGAAGCAGAGAGGTTATGCAGGGCAGTAGCAGTGGAGGCAGAGGGAGGATGGGAAGCAGAGAGGTTATGCAGGGCAGTAGCAGTGGAGGCAGAGGGAGGATGGGAAGCAGAGAGGTTATGCAGGGCAGTAGCAGTGGAGGCAGAGGGAGGATGGGAAGCAGAGAGGTTATGCAGGGCAGTAGCAGTGGAGGCAGAGGGAGGATGGGAAGCAGAGAGGTTATGCAGGGCAGTAGCAGTGGAGGCAGAGGGAGGATGGGAAGCAGAGAGGTTATGCAGGGCAGTAGCAGTGGAGGCAGAGGGAGGATGGGAAGCAGAGAGGTTATGCAGGGCAGTAGCAGTGGAGGCAGAGGGAGGATGGGAAGCAGAGAGGTTATGCAGGGCAGTAGCATTGGAGGCAGAGGGAGGATGGGAAGCAGAGAGGTTATGCAGGGCAGTAGCAGTGGAGGCAGAGGGGGGAGGGGAAGCAGAGAGGTTATGCAGGGCAGTAGCAGTGGAGGCAGAGGGGGGAGGGGAAGCAGAGAGGTTATGCAGGGCAGTAGCAGTGGAGGCAGAGGGGGGAGGGGAAGCAGAGAGGTTATGCAGGGCAGTAGCAGTGGAGGCAGAGGGGGGAGGGGAAGCAGAGAGGTTATGCAGGGCAGTAGCAGTGGAGGCAGAGGGGGGAGGGGAAGCAGAGAGGTTATGCAGGGCAGTAGCAGTGGAGGCAGAGGGGGGAGGGGAAGCAGAGAGGTTATGCAGGGCAGTAGCAGTGGAGGCAGAGGGGGGAGGGGAAGCAGAGAGGTTATGCAGGGCAGTAGCAGTGGAGGCAGAGGGGGGAGGGGAAGCAGAGAGGTTATGCAGGGCAGTAGCAGTGGAGGCAGAGGGGGGAGGGGAAGCAGAGAGGTTATGCAGGGCAGTAGCAGTGGAGGCAGAGGGGGGAGGGGAAGCAGAGAGGTTATGCAGGGCAGTAGCAGTGGAGGCAGAGGGGGGAGGGGAAGCAGAGAGGTTATGCAGGGCAGTAGCAGTGGAGGCAGAGGGGGGAGGGGAAGCAGAGAGGTTATGCAGGGCAGTAGCAGTGGAGGCAGAGGGGGGAGGGGAAGCAGAGAGGTTATGCAGGGCAGTAGCAGTGGAGGCAGAGGGGGGAGGGGAAGCAGAGAGGTTATGCAGGGCAGTAGCAGTGGAGGCAGAGGGGGGAGGGGAAGCAGAGAGGTTATGCAGGGCAGTAGCAGTGGAGGCAGAGGGGGGAGGGGAAGCAGAGAGGTTATGCAGGGCAGTAGCAGTGGAGGCAGAGGGGGGAGGGGAAGCAGAGAGGTTATGCAGGGCAGTAGCAGTGGAGGCAGAGGGGGGAGGGGAAGCAGAGAGGTTATGCAGGGCAGTAGCAGTGGAGGCAGAGGGGGGAGGGGAAGCAGAGAGGTTATGCAGGGCAGTAGCAGTGGAGGCAGAGGGGGGAGGGGAAGCAGAGAGGTTATGCAGGGCAGTAGCAGTGGAGGCAGAGGGGGGAGGGGAAGCAGAGAGGTTATGCAGGGCAGTAGCAGTGGAGGCAGAGGGGGGAGGGGAAGCAGAGAGGTTATGCAGGGCAGTAGCAGTGGAGGCAGAGGGGGGAGGGGAAGCAGAGAGGTTATGCAGGGCAGTAGCAGTGGAGGCAGAGGGGGGAGGGGAAGCAGAGAGGTTATGCAGGGCAGTAGCAGTGGAGGCAGAGGGGGGAGGGGAAGCAGAGAGGTTATGCAGGGCAGTAGCAGTGGAGGCAGAGGGGGGAGGGGAAGCAGAGAGGTTATGCAGGGCAGTAGCAGTGGAGGCAGAGGGGGGAGGGGAAGCAGAGAGGTTATGCAGGGCAGTAGCAGTGGAGGCAGAGGGGGGAGGGGAAGCAGAGAGGTTATGCAGGGCAGTAGCAGTGGAGGCAGAGGGGGGAGGGGAAGCAGAGAGGTTATGCAGGGCAGTAGCAGTGGAGGCAGAGGGGGGAGGGGAAGCAGAGAGGTTATGCAGGGCAGTAGCAGTGGAGGCAGAGGGGGGAGGGGAAGCAGAGAGGTTATGCAGGGCAGTAGCAGTGGAGGCAGAGGGGGGAGGGGAAGCAGAGAGGTTATGCAGGGCAGTAGCAGTGGAGGCAGAGGGGGGAGGGGAAGCAGAGAGGTTATGCAGGGCAGTAGCAGTGGAGGCAGAGGGGGGAGGGGAAGCAGAGAGGTTATGCAGGGCAGTAGCAGTGGAGGCAGAGGGGGGAGGGGAAGCAGAGAGGTTATGCAGGGCAGTAGCAGTGGAGGCAGAGGGGGGAGGGGAAGCAGAGAGGTTATGCAGGGCAGTAGCAGTGGAGGCAGAGGGGGGAGGGGAAGCAGAGAGGTTATGCAGGGCAGTAGCAGTGGAGGCAGAGGGGGGAGGGGAAGCAGAGAGGTTATGCAGGGCAGTAGCAGTGGAGGCAGAGGGGGGAGGGGAAGCAGAGAGGTTATGCAGGGCAGTAGCAGTGGAGGCAGAGGGGGGAGGGGAAGCAGAGAGGTTATGCAGGGCAGTAGCAGTGGAGGCAGAGGGGGGAGGGGAAGCAGAGAGGTTATGCAGGGCAGTAGCAGTGGAGGCAGAGGGGGGAGGGGAAGCAGAGAGGTTATGCAGGGCAGTAGCAGTGGAGGCAGAGGGGGGAGGGGAAGCAGAGAGGTTATGCAGGGCAGTAGCAGTGGAGGCAGAGGGGGGAGGGGAAGCAGAGAGGTTATGCAGGGCAGTAGCAGTGGAGGCAGAGGGGGGAGGGGAAGCAGAGAGGTTATGCAGGGCAGTAGCAGTGGAGGCAGAGGGGGGAGGGGAAGCAGAGAGGTTATGCAGGGCAGTAGCAGTGGAGGCAGAGGGGGGAGGGGAAGCAGAGAGGTTATGCAGGGCAGTAGCAGTGGAGGCAGAGGGGGGAGGGGAAGCAGAGAGGTTATGCAGGGCAGTAGCAGTGGAGGCAGAGGGGGGAGGGGAAGCAGAGAGGTTATGCAGGGCAGTAGCAGTGGAGGCAGAGGGGGGAGGGGAAGCATGGGCTGACGCAGTGAAAACGGGGATTATCAGGGGGCGTGAGTCTCATGAGGGCCATTTCTCTGCTAGGGGCTGCGAGCGAGCGGGCAAAGCTGTCTGTACGCTGTGAGGCTACGCGGTACTCGGCATGAGGCGTGGAGGTTCCTTCTGCTCCTACTTCTACTCTCTCCTCAATGTCTCACTTCCCTGAACCCCCCACCCTTCCACCGTTCCCCCCCATCCCACCCCTACTTTGCACGGACCTGCATGGCAGCTCCCTCTTCCGTCCCCCTTTCCTCCCCATCCCCCCGCCCCCCTCACGCGCTTCCCGCACGCACCTGCACTGCGAGGATGAGGCCAAGCCAGCCGTAGTAGTCGATGCTCTCGTATGACCGGATGCCGATGGCCGTCGCCTGCTTCTTCACCTGCCATGTCAACCACGCACGCACGCACACATGCACACATGCACGCACACACGCATGGCACGCACACATGGCGCGCACGCATGGCACCGCACACCAGAACGGCACGCAATGAGCACACCAGCACGCACACGGCACACCAACAAGCACACGAGCACGCCAATATTCAGGACGTGCCGTGACATGCCCCTGCCGTGCCCTCTCCTGTCCTACCCCGCCCTGCCATGGTATCATGCATAATTTCGTCCCATGCACATTAACCAGGTACTATCCTCGTTACAAGCCCAAAACTCGAAACCGCGCACCAACGGCCCCCCGACGCACCTTGGACGTGTCGCACGACGACAACTTCTTATCGTCGTCGCTATCGTCGTCGTCGTCCTTGCCAGATGCGCACATCGCGTTCCCCTTCGTGCCGTATGTGCACGTCGAGTTTCCTTTGTAGGGGTAATTACCCTCCGTCACCATACCCCCGTATTTCCCCGTCGTCTTCACAACATAGTCCAGCGCAATCGTGGGCCAGCCGCCCGTGCAGTTGCCCTTTTTGCTGTCGCCGCAGTTCAGCACCTGCTGCGTCGACAGGTAACGCGGCGCCTGCATGTCGCACGAGTCGTTGCGCGCCACGGCGTATGCGAGCTCCACCGCCGTCACCGCCGCCATCGCCCAGCTGCTGCCTGTTGGGGGGAAGGGAGAGGTGGCGGGGGACGGGAAAGGGAACGGGGAGGAGGTGGGGGGCCGGTGGAGAATGCGGGGGGTGGGAGAGATGAGGTTTGGAAAGATAAGAGTGTGGTCCGATGAACATTGACGAATGGGGTGGGAGCAGAGCAGACGACCGGACGATGCGGTTTTTGAGACGTCGAGACGCAGGCAGTGACGAAACGACGTGGCGACCGCGGGAAGGGCGAGAGCGAAAAAAGGAAGTTGGCGGCGGTCGTCGTACCGCAGGAGCCCTGGATGCGCACGCGGCCGAGGGTGGACGTGCGGTAATCAAAATTTTAAGCGCCTCAAAAAACGCCTACAAAAAGTCGCCCAAAAAAAAGGCGCCTCAAAGATGGCAGTACCGCAGGAGCCCTGGTTGCGAACGCGGCCGAGGGTGGACGTGCGGTAATCGGTCCAGTTGGCGCTGGTAGCGAGGCCCCACTTGCGCGTGGCCGCGTTGAAGTTGACGCTCGCGAAGCGGAATATGCTGTTTTTCCCCGCCGGCTTCAGCGGCGCCGTCGCCGGGTCGCACCCCGTGGAGTACGCTGCGCGGGGGAAGAGATGGCGGAAAATGCCGGTAGATTAGGGGCGAGTTGGGGAGAGAGACAACTTGTCTTGAAAGGCAAGGCGGGGAAAATTGTGCGACGTGTGGATAAAAAGGTGGAGAATGCCACTCGGAGTGGGGGGATTAACAGGCATAAGCAGTTTGTGCCGAATAGTACGCAAAGCGCGGTGGAAAAAATATTTGGAGACCAAAAAGAAGCTTACTCGCCGTGGCGGTCGGGAACCCCCATTGGCCGACAGCGACGAGGAGAAGAACCGAGAGGAGCGCATGTCGCAGATGGAGGAAACGCGACGGATGAAAAGTCGTGGCCATTGTCGGTCTGTGTTTAGGCATCCAAGAGACAAGCGCTCCTGGCTCAAATGCACGTTTTATTATACTATTTTCTCGATTCGCCACGGCTGGAAAATCGGGTCGTTGTGAAGGCGATGCGTCACGATGAGAGCAGGGTAGTCTCCTCCCTTGAAAGAACAGTCGCAGTTGTGAAGGAAGTGGTAGATGCGATGTGGGGCTGATTTGGTTCCAATTCCAACCAAGCGAAGTGTTGACAGAACACAAGACATGTGAAAAAATGCAAAATGCGGCAGGGGGACAGTTGGTGATGGTGGTGTTGTGGTGGGTGGCTCGAGGGGCAAGGGCTGGATGGGGTGGTTCGGGAGGAATCGCCTCACCTCGGCATGAGGTGTGGTGGTGCCGCCGACAGAGCGAACCAACAAAAGTAACCCCAATGTTTGATCCAACGGCCAGCAGATCGCTGACTCGAAACGGCGAGGGTATCGCACGCGAGCACGGTCGACGGATTACAGCGTGATTGGTCCTTAAGACCGTACCTGATTGCCACAGTAGAGGGGCCTGCCACGTACGCCGTAGGCTTTAGTGCGCCGCCGCGCTGGGATGGAGTGTGACTCTACTGTACTATGGCGAGGCGCGTGAGAGGAAGGCTGCACTGCACTGTACCATCAGCGCCACAGCACACAAGTCCCAAATGCCATCGCAACTGCAAAATCAGATGCTTCCAGCTCTGTACTGTAAATTGAATCTATCTGGTGGTTTGGCATCCATCGTTATAGACACAATACAAAGGCCAGCCATACCATCACAGTTTCCAGTGTTTAAGCCCATTTGACTACAAACTACCACTTATATGATCACGTCCAGCCAACTACCGTATTTTCCCGGAAAAGGCCAGCCAGCCGCCATAATCAAAACTTCTTCATTCTCATGTATCTGTGATTTATTCATACTACCGGTATAAACATATTTACACAAGCAAGGATTGCAATGCTAACAAAGGGGATGGGAACAGCAGACGCCAACTTCCTGTACATGCCACTGAAAAGTAGTCATTGCGCCTTGAAGAGGGTGACTGTACAGATGTGTCCATTCTTCAACACCTGCAAGAAACCAACAGTGTCTCACAAAGAAACAAATGTAGGCACCGCAACAGACCCCCGACAACACATGCGAAAACAAACTTCACAAGAATACATGCATCCAGATTGTGACACGAGTGCGTGTGCGTTATCCGGCTCACCTCAAACGCCAAGTGACGGAAGCCGTACACAAAGGTGGGTCCAAAGGCCCTGTGCAAGGCCCCTGCGGTCTGTATGGTCGCCCGTCCACCTCCCCCGAATAGCTTCTGTTGAATCGCAAAGAAAATGAGGATAAGATTCAAAGTGTCAGGATCCGGTAAAAAACGTTCCCTGCTATGCATCCACCCAGGTACTGTTACGTGCAGCATGGGTGAAAGAAGTTTTATGGCAAATGGATTGCAACTTGCCTCGGTGCACTCTTTTCACGCGGAAATGTACCCAAACATAAAAAACTGACAGGGTAATTCACCCGAGTGAGGCTACATGTTCGCTCACCTGCACATGGTCCCACTTGGAGTCAGGAGTTATACAGAGCGATGGGTCGGACCCGGCAGGGGCATCTGGGGCTGGGAGATTCATGCATGGCGTGTGCAGTGAAAGGGGGAAGGGAAAGGAGGAAGAGATGCAGAGTGGGTGGGGAAGGGCTCGAGAGCGATGGGAAGGGCTTGAGAGCGATGGGCATGCAGGATGGTGAAATGAGTGCAAGGGGAAAGAGGCAGCAAATCTTACAGAGCATTAAGCATGGCCCTAGTAGAATCAGGGAAGCAGACAGCAGGGAGAAGGGAGGTGGGAGGGTGGTTTACAGGGTGAGGAGAGATGGGCGTGGGGTAATGCACATGTGTGTGCGTGGGGGGTGGGGATGCGGAAGTTGCACTTGACGTAGTCGTTGAAGTCTGGCTGGCAGGAGGCTTAGTTTACAGGAGAGTGGTGGTGGTGGAGGTGGGGGAGGGCAGTGGGAAACGCACGTGCGTGGGAGGCGGGGATGCGGAATTTGCAATGAACATAGTCGTTGAAGCCCGGCTGGCAGCAGGCTTAGTTTACAGGAGGAGAGTGGTGGTGGTGGGGGGGGTGGGGGTGGGGGTGGTGTGTGTAACGCACGTGCATGGGGCGCGGGGATACGGAATTTGCAATAAACATAGTCGTTGAAGCCCGGCTGGCAGGAAGTTGCATTTGACATAGTGTTTTGAATGTAAGAGAGGAGCGGTGGGCTCGGGTGGAACGCACGTGCATGGGGCGCGGGGATGCGGAAGTTGCACTTGACGTAGTCGTTGAAATCCGGCTGGCCCGGTAGGTTGGTGTGCAACACCAGCTTGCGCACCTCGTAGCTCTACGAGAAGGTGGGTAGAAGGAATGGTCGGGGGGAGAGAGGGGTAGATGGGGGGAAGAGGGGAGGGGAGTTGAACAAGTTGGTGCACAGGACTAGCTTGCACACCTTGTAACTGGCAGAGGGGGAATCCCCTGAATGCAACCTCGACCTTGAAAATCCCCTGAATGCAACCTCGACCTTGAAAATCCCCTGAATGCAACCTCGACCTTGAAAATCCCCTGAATGCAACCTCGACCTTGAAAATCCCCTGAATGCAACCTCGACCTTGAAAATCCCCTGAATGCAACCTCGACCTTGAAAATCCCCTGAATGCAACCTCGACCTTGAAAATCCCCTGAATGCAACCTCGACCTTGAAAATCCCCTGAATGCAACCTCGACCTTGAAAATCCCCTGAATGCAACCTCGACCTTGAAAATCCCCTGAATGCAACCTCGACCTTGAAAATCCCCTGAATGCAACCTCGACCTTGAAAATCCCCTGAATGCAACCTCGACCTTGAAAATCCCCTGAATGCAACCTCGACCTTGAAAATCCCCTGAATGCAACCTCGACCTTGTTAATCCCCTGAATGCAACCTCGACCTTGAAAATCCCCTGAATGCAACCTCGACCTTGTTAATCCCCTGAATGCAACCTCTACCTTGAAAATCCCCTGAATGCAACCTCGACCTTGTTAATCCCCTGAATGCAACCTCGACCTTGAAAATCCCCTGAATGCAACCTCGACCTTGTTAATCCCCTGAATGCAACCTCTACCTTGTTAATCCCCTGAATGCAACCTCGACCTTGTTAATCCCCTGAATGCAACCTCGACCTTGTTAATCCCCTGAATGCAACCTCGACCTTGTTAATCCCCTGAATGCAACCTCGACCTTGTTAATCCCCTGAATGCAACCTCGACCTTGTTAATCCCCTGAATGCAACCTCGACCTTGTTAATCCCCTGAATGCAACCTCGACCTTGTTAATCCCCTGAATGCAACCTCGACCTTGTTAATCCCCTGAATGCAACCTCGACCTTGTTAATCCCCTGAATGCAACCTCGACCTTGTTAATCCCCTGAATGCAACCTCGACCTTGTTAATCCCCTGAATGCAACCTCGACCTTGTTAATCCCCTGAATGCAACCTCGACCTTGTTAATCCCCTGAATGCAACCTCGACCTTGTTAATCCCCTGAATGCAACCTCGACCTTGTTAATCCCCTGAATGCAACCTCGACCTTGTTAATCCCCTGAATGCAACCTCGACCTTGTTCTCACCTGGCCACTGAAGATAATATCGAGCCCTCGGGTGTAGTAGCTCCAGATGTAGTCCGGGGGAGTGGAGCAGGGGGAGAGCGTGGGCGAGGGGGAGGAGACGAGGGGCGAGGAGGGGGAGGAGGAGAGGGGCGGGGCGCGGGCGGAGTGAATTGCCTTGGCAGAGTCCTGCAGAGGGGAGCGGCGCACAGGGGGGGGGGGAAGGGAGAGGAGTTAGCGCTGAGGGCTGGGAGCAGGGGGGAGGTTGGCAATGGTTGGACAGGAATGGAGGAAAGGGTGGAGTAGGCATGATAAGTAGTAGGGCCGGGAGAATCCATTCGATGCTGCTGTCCGCCATGCATTGCCGGGACACGCATGCGCCCCTGCCCCTTGTCACCCCTTCAAGCCACCCCTGCCCCAACCGCGCCTCCCCTCAAAGCCACCCCTGCCCACCCACGCGTCCCCTCCCTTGAAGCCTTCCCCCCCCACCGTGCATGACCTGCTTGGCGCCCATGCAGCACGGCCTCCCCAGCTCCGACCATACGTCCTGGCGGGGGGAAAGAGGAGGGGGCGAGATGGCGGACGCGGACACAAAGGGAGGCACGCACGGGAGGTAAGCAAGGGAGGAGAGAAAGGTGAGAGACGGGCGCACAAGGGCGAGGAGAGAAAGGTGAGAGACGGGCGCACAAGGGCGAGGAGAGGAGTGAGAAAGGAGTCAAGTGTGTGCCTCCAGGATACATGTGGGTGGGAAGAGAGAGAGCGGTTGGGAAGGAGTGGCAGGTGGGCGGAGAGGGGCAGGAGGAGAGGAGCGCATGGGAGCAGCTGACCTGCGCGGAGTCCCCAAAGGCAATGCGCTGCCCGCCCTGTGAGAAGAGCAGTGCCTCTCCCAGCTGGTGCGAGTATGGGGGAAGAGAGAAGAGGGGCAGGGAAGGGAGAGAGGGTCAGGGAGGAAGGGGGGTTGAGGTGCCTCCTTGAGTCCCCAAAGGCAATGCGCTGCCCGCCCTGTGAGAAGAGCACTGCCTCTCCCAGCTGGTGCGAGTATGGGGGAAGAGAGAAGAGGGGCAGGGAAGGGAGAGAGGGTCAGGGAGGAAGGGGGGTTGAGGTGCCTCCTTGAGTCCCCAGAGGCAATGCGCTGCCCGCCCTGTGAGAAGAGCAGTGCCTCTCCCAGCTGGTGCGAGTATGGGGGAAGAGAGAAGAGGGGCAGGGAAGGGAGAGAGGGTCAGGGAGGAAGGGGGGTTGAGGTGCCTCCTTGAGTCCCCAAAGGCAATGCGCTGCCCGCCCTGTGAGAAGAGCACTGCCTCTCCCAGCTGGTGCGAGTATGGGGGAAGAGAGAAGAGGGGCAGGGAAGGGAGAGAGGGTCAGGGAGGAAGGGGGGTTGAGGTGCCTCCTTGAGTCCCCAAAGGCAATGCGCTGCCCGCCCTGTGAGAAGAGCACTGCCTCTCCCAGCTGGTGGGGAGAGAGGGAGCATACGGGCAAGGAAAGAGGGAGAGAAGCAAGGAGAGGGGGGGAGCAGCAGGTTGGGGACACAAGGAGGGTGGGGAGGGAAGGGCATAAGAAGCAAGCAGGGGAATGGCATTGTAAAACAAATTGCATCCGTGACCATCCCACTGGCAGCAGGAGGGCCTCCATGCACATGGCACCGGTCGCCAACCTGCACTGCACGCCCATTTCCCCTGCCTTCCGCCCGCCCCACATGAAGCCTGGCCTTCTGGGCCGGGCTGGGCCTTGTCGCTCACATCACATGCACCCTGTACACGGCACCGTTCGCCATCACCCATTCACCACTACCCGCACCTCTCCCACAAGCTCGTCTCATCTCCCGCACCCACCTGCACCACGAGGGCCTCCATGTACACGGCCCCGGTCGCCATCACCCTCGCGTGCAGGCTCATATACTTGTTTAATACAGTGGCCATGCGCCACAACACCACCCTCACCTGCACCACGAGGGCCTCCATGTACACGGCCCCATTCGCCATCACCAGCGGCAGCGACGCAAACCGCTCTGCTGCCCGCCGCAACCCCTCCCCCTCCCCGCCCTCGACAGTCCCCCCTGTGCCCCCTTCGGCCCCAACGCCCCCTGTCCCCCCCGCCCCCTGCGCAGGGAGAGCAGGCTCCCCCGGCAGGTGCAGCAGCACCCGCGATAGGCGGGGCGCAGAGCCGTCTGGCAGCTGCATGGGGAGGTCTGGGGGAGGAGGGGAGAAGGGGAGGGAGAAGGGGAGGGAGAAGGGGAGGGAGAAGGGGAGGGAGAAGGGGGAAGGGTTGGGAAAAGAGAGTGGGGGAGAGGAGTGGAAAGTGGGTTCCCCCGGCAGGTAAAGCAGCACTTGGGAGAGGCGGGGCGCTGAGCCGTCTGGCAGCTGCATTGGGAGGTCCGGGAGGAGGGGAGGGGGGGGGGGAAATGAAAGACGCATGGGAGGGAGGAGGGGGGCGTGTAGCAGCTTGGGGATTAAGAGGACAGGCCACGAAGGAGGGGAGCAGCGCAAGGAGGGCGGATAAAAGAGAGGGCAGACGAGCTAGTGATGCGGCTTACAAAGCGGGGTGCAGCAAGGGCGTTGAGAGAGAGCGAGAGGCTAGGGGGGGCGAAAAGAGATTCGGGGAGAGAGAGGCGCGGGGAGCCGCGAGGGTAGGGTATGAGTGAGGTAGCGTGAGAGTGGCGTTGAGAGGGCATGAGCGAGCGAGGTAGGAAGGCCCTGACCGTGTGTGGGGTGGTGGAATAGGTGCTGGTGCGGCGCTGCGATGGGGAAGAGCAAAGCCATGCCCTGGCAACACGGAGGGGTTGAGATGGGCGAGGAGGGCGGGGCAGAGGGGGAAAAGAGCACGGGGGAAGGAAGGAGACAGTAGGGGCAAGAATGGGCAGAGAAAAGAGGGCGCAGGGACAGGGTGCCGTGCACATGGCGCAGGGACAGGGTGCCGTGCACATGGCGCAGGGACAGGGTGCCGTGCACATGGCGCAGGGACAGGGTGCCGTGCACATGGCGCAGGGACAGGGTGCCGTGCACATGGCGCAGGGACAGGGTGCCGTGCACATGGCGCAGGGACAGGGTGCCGTGCACATGGCGCAGGGCACAGAGCACAGGGGAAAGGGCGCAGGGCACAGAGCACAGGGGAAAGGGCGCAGGGCAGGGGACAGAGCGTGCATTGCGCAGGGCAAGGGGGAGCAGTACCGGGTAGGCGAGGGTATAGCAGGAAGACTGAGCGCTGTAGGCGCCGGGGAAGGTGGGACCAAGCACTGAATACACGTGCGCGAACGTGGGCGCCTGCATGGGGCCTCTGCGATGCGAGTACCCAAGGCGGAGGGGGGGAGGGAGAGAGTCGCCCGGCACAGCAGGGGGCAAAGGCGGAAGACGAGGGTATGGGGATGGCGAAGAAGGAGAGGGTAGAAGAGAGGAGGAAGAGGGAAAGAGGGCGGCGCGCTGAGACAAGAGTTGGCAAGAAGGTGGCGCTGAGGCAAGGGTTGGCAAGAAGGTGGCGGGACCCAAGGGTTGGCAAGAAGGTGGCGGGACCCAAGGGTTGGCAAGAAGGTGGCGGGACCCAAGGGAGGGACGGCAGGCATACCCGAGCAGCGAGGCTCCGAATCGCAGGTGCAGACGAGAGATGTCCGCCACGTCTATGCGGTGCAGGCGCTGGGGGGGGGTTGGATGGGGGTGGGGGCTGGCTGAGGAGGAGTGAGAGAAGAATGGATGCGCAAGGATGAGAGGCGGCATTAGAGTGAGAGGGCGTGGAGAAATGTGGAGGGCACGTAAGAGAGTGCGAGAATCCTGACCTACATGTGTGCGTCTAGTTCCTACCCCAAGCTCTTTAACTGCACTGCACATGCAAGGCTTGGGCGTAGCAGGAGCAGGTGACCTGCCGAGTCTGCACCTGCACGTGTGGGTCGAAGCAGAGGCGGAAACCGAGGTGCGGGAAGGCGATGACTATGTCCCGCGATAGAGGCTCCTGGGGGCGGGAGATAGGGGGGGATCCGGGGAAGGGTCGGGCATAGGTCTCAGGAGTTTTTTGAGAATTGTAAACAAATGCTTACACCCCACCTGGTGGCAGCACGACAGCAGTCGAGTGTGTGCGGCTGTGAGTTACGCCGCGCCCAATGAGCCAGGAAATAGGGGGAAATATAGCAACGCACCTGGTGGCAGTAGTTAACGACGATGCTGTCGAAGACGCCCAGCTGCGCCTCCACCTCCGCCAACGCCTCGCACACCGCCATGCCTGCTCGCCACTCGCACGGCACGCGCAAACACGCGCCGACACGCGCCCGAACAACGCAAACAGGCAGCAGGTGCAGCACGAGTAGGGGAGACACGTGTGGGGGAAAGAGCAGCGGGAATGTGGTTACCAGCGGGCGACGAAGAAACGCGAAGAGAACCCGTGAAGAGCGAGAGCGGTTGAGAGAAAGCAAGGAAACGAGGGGGGCGCGGGTGGGACAGCGGCGGGCGGGGGAGATTCCGTAGCGGGGAGCGCAGAGCGCGCGCAGCGGAAGAGGACGAGTAAGAGGAGCGGGCTTGGGGGAGCGCACCGAGCGAGAAGGGCCCCAGGCCCACCCCCGGACGCAGGTCCAACGTCGCGATGCCCATGGCGCGCGCGCTCTCGGCGGAGAGTGGTGGAGAGCGGTGGAGGAGGGGGATGAGTGACGCGCGGAAGCGAGTCGACGACGTGTGGATGATTGTTGTGGACTGGGGAGAAAGCAGGGAGACGGAAGTAAGGCTAGCGGGAAGGAGAAGGCTGCGCGCAGTTTCCGTTGACGTGCGTGGCGATGCTTCGCTACTTGGTCTTCGAGGTCACATCACGATTCACTAGGAGCCAAGTGCCTTGCGGAATGTTTGAGCCTGTGGGCGTATCGCGTCGGGTTGGTGCATCGGGGATGGGTGGTAGATAGGGAATTCGGGGTGTGAGAGTGGGGGGAGGGAAGGGCAGTGAAATGTGTGGCAGGAAAGGGGGGAATTTGTGTTGCAGGTGACGTGTAGCTGACTCAGCGAAACATTGCGTAGAGACCAAATTAGTAATCTGTACGAAATACTACACCCGGAAAAAAACTACTCTACTACCGAATCATTCTGCAAACCAAACAATTCCATCAGCCTGGTCTTTGTCCCCAACCCTGCACCCTTCAAAAACCTCTACACTTTTCTTCCCGTCACTTTGGTCCCCCTTCCCTCCACTGCTGCTCCATCACGTTACGCAAGCTGCGATCTACCGCCCAGAGCTACGCATTGTCGCGCTTAAAAGTTAATAACTACGTCGTTTCGACGAATCATCGGTTGCGTCAGTGGCGGTACTGTCTGAGCCGACTCAGAGCGAACAGCAGCGTGAGCGGCGGCGGGCGCGATGGGGAGCAGCGGAGCAGCGGCGGAACTGCTGGAGCTCGAGAACGATGGCTTCACGGCGCAGCAGATCTTCAATCAGGTACCGCCACGTGGCACTCCGCTACGAAGCGCCCCTGCGCGCCTCTGCCCCTCTCCGCCGTCCGATTCGTTCCGCTGCGAAGCGCGTCCCCTTCTCTTCCCGACCACCCTCTTCAATTGTGCTTTGCCACGTGGCATTGCAGGGCGTGGCGTACACGTACGACGATTGCATCTTCCATCCGCGCCACATCAGCTTCGCCGCGTCTGACGTGGACCTGACCGGGCGCGTGACACGTGGCATCTCCCTGCGTATGCCACTTGTCAGCTCGCCGATGGACACGGTGACGGAGGCGGAAATGGCGGCGGCGATGGCGGCGGTGGGGGGGATGGGGTTTATCCATTACAACAACAGCGTCCAGGAGCAAGCGGATTTGATTCGGCAGGCGAAGCAGTGGCGCGTGGGAGTGGTCAACGCGCCGCCCACTCTGCCGCCCACAAGCACTGTGCAGGTGAGGGGTGGAGAAGGGAAGGGGGGATGCGGGAGTGGGTAGGTGGCAGCATAGCATGTGCGAGAGTGGCGTGCAATGTGAATGATGACGTGGACTGTTGTGCCAGTCACGTGGATTGTTGTGCCATTCACCTAAGGCATTGCCCCCCACTCTCCCTTCTGTATCCCCCGCCCCATTTTCCCCCACCCCACCTGTTTCCTCCCCCCCTTTCTCTCCCCTCCCCCCCCTTTCCCTTCCTCCTCCTTTCCCGCCCCCCACGTTCTCTCCCCCTTCCGCGCGCCAGGCGTGGCAGGACCTGGTGGAGGCGGGCGGGCAGGGCGCCGTGTGCGTGACGGACGACGGCAGCGCGGGCGGCAGGCTGGTGGGCGTGGTCACGCAGAACGACGTTGACTTCGTTGACTCCAGGTGGGGTGACGAGAGAGAGGGGGGTGGTGGGGGGGGGGGAGGGGGGGGGGGAGGGGGGGAAGAGTGAGGAAATGATTGATTGGCGGAGTTGGGGAGGAGGGTAGCAAAGGGTTGGGGGTGGGGGTGGGGGGGGGGGAGAGGTGGTGAAGACTGGAAGCAGCGCCAAGTGGGCAGAGAAGCAGCGGCTTTTCCTGGCATCCTGACGCACCGTGCCTCCTTCCCCGTGCCCTCTATGTCCCCCTCACTCACTGCCGCCTCCTGCCGTCCTCCCTCCCTCCCTTTTCCTCTCTGTCTCCCCTCCCCCGTCCCCATCACCCCGTTCCCATTCCCATCTCCCCCCAGCGCGGCGCTGCTATCGGACGTGATGACGCCCCTCAAGGACCTCGTTACCGCCGCGCCCTCCTGCTCGCACGAAGACGCCAAGAAGCTTCTCCAGGTGGGGCTGCCCAGTGCCTGTCTGCCTGCCTGCAGCGCTCTGCTTGCTGCTTGCCATGTGTGTGGGAAGGGTGCCTCTGCGCCCTCTGCTCTTCGCCTGTTACACCTCTCACTCCTCCCGCACTCCGCTTTCCCGCCCACCTGCATTGCCTGCACACTCTACAGCACGCCACTCTCACCCCACCGCAACCCGCTTCGCGCTGCCCTCATCCCCACTGCCCTCCCCTCCTCTCTCACGCACAGAGGTCGAAGCGCAGCAGCATCCCGCTAGTGGCAGAGGGCGGCGCTCTCAAAGGCCTGCTCACTCGCGCGCTGCTCAACCACCACCTTGCCCTGCCGCCTGCCCCCTCTCTCCTCTCTCCTCTCTTCTGCCCCATTCCTCCTGCCCTCCCCATCCCTTCCCATTCCCCGTTTTTCCTCTTCTCCAAGGATCGAAGCGCAGCAGCATTCCGCTAGTGGCGGAGGACGGCGCGTTCAAGGGCCTGCTCACGCGCGCGCTGGTGAAGCAGCAGTTGGCGCTGCCCCATCCTCTCTGCCCACTGACCCCTGCCCGTCCCCTTCCCCCCCGCCAAACACACACCCGCACAGGAGTCGAAGCGCAGCAGCATCCCGCTGGTCGCGGAGGACGGCGCGCTCAAGGGTCTCCTCACGCGCGCGCTGGTGAAGCAGCAGTTGGCGCTGCCCCCACGCGGGCCGCCCTCCCTGGCGGCGGACGGCAGGGCGCTGGTGGGCGCCGCTGTGGGCACACGGGACAGCGACCGCGAGAGAGTGGCGGCGCTGGTGGAGGCGGGCGTTGATGCCGGTAGGTGGGAGCTGTTTGTTCATTGTTGGCCACTCTTTTCTTTGTTGTTCTTTTCTTTACCGGGAGAGAGTGGCGGGACTGGTGGAGGTTGGGGTTGATGCTGGTAGGTTGGGGTGCGGTGGCTGATCCCGCTCTGCTCCCTGGCGTCTGCTTTTGAGTCGACTCAAAAGCTGATCCCGCTCTGCTCCCTGGCGTCTGCTTTTGAGTCGACTCAAAAGCTGATCCCGCTCTGCTCCCTGGCGTCTGCTTTTGAGTCGACTCAAAAGCTGATCCCGCTCTGCTCCCTGGCGTCTGCTTTTGAGTCGACTCAAAAGCTGATCCCGCTCTGCTCCCTGGCGTCTGCTTTTGAGTCGACTCAAAAGCTGATCCCGCTCTGCTCCCTGGCGTCTGCTTTTGAGTCGACTCAAAAGCTGATCCCGCTCTGCTCCCTGGCGTCTGCTTTTGAGTCGACTCAAAAGCTGATCCCGCTCTGCTCCCTGGCGTCCTTATCTTTCCTCACTACTCCTCACCTCCTCTCTCTCTTCCCCTCCCTTCTCCCCACCTCTGCTGGCTATTAGTGTTGCGCCTTGGAAAAGCCACTCCTCTCTCTCCCCCACCCCTTCCCTGCCCACCCCCTTTCCCCAATTCCCGCCTCATTCCCCCTCCCTTCCCCCACCCCCCAGTGGTGCTGGACTCATCACAGGGAGATTCGTCCTACCAGCTGGCCATGCTAGCGCACTGCAAGCGCCAGTTCCCCGACCTGCAGATCATCGCAGGGAACGTGGTTACCGCACGGCAGGTGAGAGGCATGGCAGGTGAGAGGCACGGCAGGTGAGAGGCACGGCAGGTGAGAGGCACGGCAGGTGAGAGGCATGGCAGGTGAGAGGCACGGCAGGTGAGAGGCACGGCAGGTGAGAGGCACGGCAGGTGAGAGGCACGGCAGGTGGGGGGCACGGCAGGTATGTGGCTGGCATGGCAGATGAGGGGCACAGCCAGGAGGGTGGCATGCTAGGTGCATTGCACAGCAGGTTGCGCATGGTTTCCTTTCCTTGTGTCACTTTCTGCCCGCCACTTCACCCGTGTCGTGTCCATCGCTGCGCTTTCCTTCCAATCCCCCACTCCCCCCCTTCTCCCCCCCGTGCAGGCGCGCAGGCTGATAGAGGGGGGCGCGGACGGCATTCGGGTGGGCATGGGGTCGGGCTCTATCTGCACCACACAGGAAGTCTGCGCCGTGGGCAGGGGGCAGGTGAGGCGCTGTGACAGGGAATAGGTGAAGACGGGCTTGGGTGCGAGGCTTTGAGTTGCCTTGAATGAGTTCAGGGGGCGCGGAAGGCATGCGGTCGGGCGTGCGGTCGGCCACGTGGTTCTATCTGCACCACCCAGGAAGTCTGCGCCGTGGGCAGAGGGCAGGTGAGATGGGGTTATTGGGGCAGGTGGGCACAGAGGCACGTGAGTCTAGGGAGAATTGTGCCTGCGAGTCTGTGAGTGCGCTTCTTTATGCTGGGTGGGTTGTGGATACACTTCCCTTGTACTTCTCGTGCCCCTCTTTGCCCCTCTGCCTCCTCACTCATCTCCCTATCCCCGCACCTCTCCCCCCCACCCACCATGCCGCACTCCTACAGGCAGCAGCAGTGTTCAAGGTAGCAAGCCTGGCACACGCAATGGGGGAGATTCCAGTGATAGCGGACGGCGGGGTGAGCAACACGGGGCATTTCATCAAGGCGCTGGCTCTCGGCGCCTCCTCTGTCATGGTTGGAAGCTTCCTCGCAGGCACCGATGAGGCGCCCGGGCAAACGTACATTCGGGTGCGTGACTGGCGTTGACTGGTGTTGACTGGCGTTGACCGGCTGCCATGTGCTCTTGACTGAGAGTACTTTTGAGTCGGCTGGCATGTCTGCATGCTCTCTTTTCATTGTGTTGGTCACTCCTTTCTTCTCCCGTATTCCCCATCCCCTAATGTTAGTACCCCCTCTCTCATCTTTCTCCCCACTCACCCCCTCCCCTCTCCCAGGCCGGGGTGAGAGTGAAGCAGCACTGGGGCGTGTGGTCCCTTGCAGAATTGAGATGATAAGTCCCCCCTCCCCTCCCCAACCCTCTTCCCC